CATACCCTAGTAGCTTGACTATTAGTCGGAGGTGCTCTGGTGGCAGGACTCGTTGATCCAACAAGTGCCTCAAGCTTTGCTGGTCCGATCGAACTACAAAGTGCTTTCTCATAAGATAGTGGCGCCATTTCTGGACAGCGAGCACTATGGCGAGAAGTTCGCGCTCATACACCGAGGTCAGCCGAGATGTGGCCGCCAATGCCTTACTAAAGTAAGCAATTGGTCTCCCGTCCTGGATAAGAACGGCCCCTACACCTCCACCTGACACGTATGTCTCAAGGATAAATGACTTCGTGAAATCCGGCATGGCGAGCACTGGCAGCTCTGTCATGGCTTTCTTCAGTTGGAGGAAAGCCCCTTCGGCCAAGTCTGACCACCCGAACGTTCCCCTCTTGAGTAATTCGGTAAGGGGTCGTGCTATGGACCCGTACACCTGCACAAAACGTCTGTAATAGCCGGTAAGGCCCAGGAATCCACGAAGTTCGCGAATGTTTCGTGGAGATAGCCAAGTCAACATTGCCTCGACTTTGGAAGAATCAGCCGAAACCCCTCTTGCGGAAATCACATGGCCCAGGTATTTTACCTGTTCCCGGCCGAAGGTACACTTTTTATAATTGGCAACCAACTTCTCCTGTTTTAACACTGCCAGCACTTGTCGCAGATGGTCATAGTGGGCCTCCCAAGATTGACTGTAAACAAGAATATCATAAAAAAAAACCAAAACGAACTTACGGAGGTAAGGCCTAAATACTGAATTCATCAACGACTGGAACGTAGTGGGAGCGTTGGTCAAACCAAAAGGCATGACGAGAAATTCGTAGTGGCCCTCATGCGTTTGGACTGCTGTTTTCTCGACATCCCTCTCCCTGACTCTGATCTGGTGGTAACCTGCGGTCAAGTCCAGCTTGGAAAATACCTTAGCTCCCTGTAACTCATCCAAAAGTTCGTCGATCACCGGAATTGGAAATTTGTCGGGCACTGTCAACTGATTTAGCGCCCGGTAGTCCACGCAAAACCTCCAATTGCCGTCCTTCTTTTTGACCAACATAACTGGGCTGGAATAAGGACTACAGCTAGGTCTAATTATACCTGATAGTAGCATGTCCGAGACTTGCCTCTCGATTTCTGCCTTCTGAAAGTGAGGGTACTTGTACGGCCTCACGTTCGGAGGGGAAGCTCCGGCCTGCAGGTTGATTCCGTGCTCTCTGGCCCGTCGAGGGGGTAGACCCTTAGGTATGTCAAAGACCTCGGAGAACTCATGGATGAGCCTCTCGCAATTGGCGTCCATGGGAAGTGACACCGCGTCTGGTGTTCCAGCCTCCACCGAACAAAGCTCCAGCAGTACCCCTATCTCCCCTGGGCTCCACGAACGAGCCATAGCATGGAGACTTACCGGAGAACAGCTTAAGGAAGGGTCTCCTGTCCAACTAATCCACTTCCCCTCCCTCTGAAATTTCATGGTGAACTTTCCCCAGTCGGCCCGCACTTCCCCCAGTGTCTTGAGCCAAGTCACCCCCAACACTATGTCTGCACTCCCCAGTTCAAACGAAAAAAGTCCTCGATGACCCACTGCTCCTGGATGAGTACTCGTACCCCACGGCAAATTCCAATATGCTGGAAACTCATCCTATTTCCCACCTGTATCTTGTGTCGGACTGATGACTCGGTGGGAATAGCAAGGTCATGTACCAGGCGGTTCGAAATGAAACTGTGAGACGCCCCGCTGTCCACTAGCACGACGACTTCCCGGCCGCCGATCGTCCCTCGCAGTTTCATAGTCTTCGCAGTCGTGAACCCTCGAATGGAGTTTAGCGACAAGGCGGCGGTCTCTTCCCACCTCCTCCTCCTCTTCCACTGTTGCTTCCCCTTCCTCCAGATGACCCTCCTCCCGTCTAGAGTCATCCTCGGCGGCAAGCAGTACCTGTAATTGTCGGAGTTTGCAACGGTGCCCTGGACTGAATTTTTCGTCGCACCGGTAACACAACCCCCCCCGCGCGCGTTTCTGTTGGATCTCCTCGAAGGAAAGTCTCCGGAAAGCTGGGCCACCACCGGCCGTCGGGTGGGTCGGCCCCGTCGGAGGATCACGGACCCTTGGCGCTGGGAAGGTCTCACGCGGTGTTTGGGATCGAAGTGAGCTCTCGATGGAATCAGAATAATTAGAGTAGCTAATATAACCCGACTTACCTCCATAATCCGAACGGGTACCCCGACCCGCCCGAGCCCTCCGGATCCTATCCACCGCTTCCAGCCTGTCCTCCACCTGTTGAGCCAAGTCCATGGCTTCTACCAAATTCCTGGGTCGGTGCATTTTTACTTCCGCCCTTATATCATCCCTCAGACCATTCAAAAAAGCACTCCGAAAAACCTTCTCAGGAATTTCCAGTAGAGTCGCCGCCAGAGTCTCAAACTCCTCCCGGTACTCCGCCACTCGTCCTCCTTGCTGGATCGCCATCAGTTTCTCCGTCGGGTCTCTTTCGCGTGATCCGCTAAATCGGTGCAGGAGGGCCTCTCGCAAGTCCCGCCAGTCCACGAACGGTTCCTGTGCATCCAGCCACTGGAACCATCCCAAAGCTTTGCCCTCCATACACACCGATGCCGCCAGTACCATGTCACCCTCGTCTACGTCGTTTAGGGTGAAATACCGTTCGGCCCTAAACACCCAGCCATGAGGATCCTCTCCGTGAAATAGCGGTTGTTCCAATTTTTTTCCCTTGTGTTTTCCCCGTGCTCGAGGTCTCACCGGAGATCCGTAACGAGGAGGCCCGGCTCTGCCTCTGACCGGTTCTCTCCGCGGGGGACTGAGCCTTCCCCGTGCTGGTCGCACCCGTTCCCTGCCCGGCGGGGTATGACCGTCCCGTGCTCGCCTTGGAGGGGATGGCTCCTCCTTGTGTTGGTGTGGCGGTGGGGGTGGAGCTCGCGCCTGCCTTACCAGAAACTCCTCCAACCTAGTGATCGTTCCTTGGATCCCTTCGATCTGGGTTCCCATCGTGGCCATATTTCCCTGCATCTCACCTATTTGCGTCCCCAGGGATTCAACCTCCCCCTGCAAGCTCGGCATCAGCTCCACGCTATCCCCAATCTCCTGCAAGGAATCCTGAAAGCTGTTCAACCGCCTCTCCACGGAGGCCACTCGGTCTGCCTGGTTCGCCATGGATCGTATGGCTCTGATACCAAATTGTTAGGATCCTCGTGGTTCAGTAGTGGTTTTACAACCGAATGAAGGTTAATTAACTAGAAAAAAGGTCTGGTTCCTGTTATTGATATTGAGAAGAACTATAGAATGAAAGATGGAAGGGAATTCGAGGACCCCCCAAGCCTCCCACAGACTCAATGACTATAAACCAAATTCTCGATACCCTACTCTCTCCTCCTCTCCTCTATGTATTCCCCGTTTCCCCATAACAGATTCTCGGGATCCTCACATACTCGGATCCCCATTTGTAACAACTTTCCCCCCAGCCCATCCTAGTTAAATCCTGAAACTAATCCTGCTCATTCCTTGCCACGTCCTGACTATCCTTCTTCCTTCTCCTAGCATATACAAACTTAAGGGGTGGGGGTGGAGGCCTAACATAAGATAAGAAAGGGCGTTGAGAATGAAGTCGAAATTTAAATGGGCCAAGGACGGGGATGCAAATTCTAAAATGTTTCACAGCCTCATGATTGCTAGGAAGGCAAAGAACACCATTTCCAAGCTCGAAAGAGGAAATTGTGGAGGAAGTGACCAATTATTTCAGCAATCTTTTCTCCTCCTCCGGTATCCCTTTCAGGGGTATTGAAGGAGTGGAGTGGTCTCCAATCTCTATGGTGGAAGCTAATGAATTAGAGAAATCTTTTGAGGTAGAGAAGGTGAGGAGGGCAGTCTTTGATTGTGATGGTAATAAGTCCCTAGGTTCGGACGGGTACTCGATGGCATTCTTCCAATCAAATTGAGATGTTGTGAAATCGGATTTAATGGAAGTTTTGATTGAGTTTTGTTCAGATGGTGTGGTCAATGCGTGTACAAACGAAACGTATATTACCCTTATACCAAAGAATGATAATTCTTGTAATGTTGGTGACTATAGGCCGATCAACCTGGGTACAAGCTTATACAAGATCATCTCTAAGGTGTTGGTTTCGAGGCTGAAAACAGTAATGGAAACTACAATATCTCAAGCCCAAGGAGCGTTTGTAGAAGGAAGGCAAATTTTAGATGTTGTGCTTATAGCGAATGAGGCGGTGGAGGAGTATCGAGCTAGCGGCAAATCGGGGATAGTTTTCAAGGCGGATTTTGAAAAGGCGTATGATCATGTTGAATGGAGATTCTTGGATTTTGTGTTGGAGAAAAAAGGGGTTTGGAGTTAAATGGAGAAATTGGATAAATGGCTGTTTGAAAACAGTTGTTCGCTTAGTTCTGTTCTGTGGACTTCTTGTTCTCTGTTGCTTGTTTTTTGTTTCCCCTTTTTAATAAAATCCTTTGTTTCTTTTCAAAAAAAAAAAAAAAAAGAAAAAAAAAAGGATTTAAAATTTAAGCTCTAATGGAATCTGAGATTCTTCATGCCATCTATTATTCCTTTGAGTTGTCCCGCTAGAGTATCTATGTAATAATGTATATGAGTTGCCCTTTTTGTTCTTTTGATTATCCTTTACTCTAGTCAGCTCTCCAGAGGTGTTTCACAAAAGAGTATTTGGTGTTTTTGGTTTCTGAATTTACGTGAATCAGCAAGTTGCCCCCCACCCCTGAATTTCTAATTTTGCAATACACGCCTAGATTTACTAAATTATTGTAGGGTTCCCAGATGGATGGCGACTATTAAACTTTTTGACGGAAATACGCGAGCTCGTTCAGAGGAAAAAAACTGAAATTTGTAGGACGGATCACGTTATGTTATGTGCACGGGGTGTTTTCGTTCAAATTTTAATAGCTCTTGTTAATTTGACAGTATTCTTCAACAGTTTATTAAGTTCAAGGGAGAAAGAGAGTTGTATTCACTGAATTTTGTCACTCGTATATGCAGGCTCGTGTTGCAAAGCTTCAGGAGAAACTGGCTTCTGTAAACATGCCTTGACATTAGCAATGCAACTGAAGTTACTTGTGAGTCAAGAAACAAAACACGAAGACCAACGGCAGGGTTTGTTTGGTGGATGAGATTAGGGGGAGAATTGGACGAGCTAATCTCAGTCTGGTAGTCTTATGTTTGGTGCATCATTTTGGTTAAGATTAGCAATCCCATTCAAATGAGTGGGATAACTAGTCCTGTTGAACTTTGTGAATTATCAATCCCAAGCTTACGGGGTAGGTCCACCTTTATAATATTTTTCATTTTTTTAGAAGCCAAATTAAATTAAAAAAGTAGTCATATTTGAAATGTTTTGATACTAATATAGTTCTAAAATTTTAGCATATTTGATGGGTGCTTTTGAAGCAAACAGCATGTTTTATCAAACATGATAAATAATAACATCTCATTAGTTTTATGTACTTTATTTTCCCATTTTACCCTTAAGGGTTTCTTAATTCTTCTCTTTTCTTTTTCTCTCTTCTCCTGACGCTTCTCTCTCTCCCCTTCCACCTCTCACTCTTTCTCTCTCTCCCAACGATCAATTTCCCCGCCGCTCTCTCTTTCTCTTCCCTTCTAAACTAATCTTTCTCTCTAATTCGCCGATCTGCCGCCTTCCTCTTATCATTGGCATTCGACGCATCATTGATCTCTCTCGTTGATCTCTCTCTCTCTCTCTCTCTCGGATCTTCTCTCTCAAATCGTTGATCTCTCTCATGTCGGGAGGAATTATCGTGAAATGGAGATCTTAGCGAAACCAAAGAAGAAGTCGTGACGGCTATTGTCCCCTGGAGATCATTTTCGTCTGTGTCCGTCGTTCGCCAAACTTCTCTCTTTGAGCACCGTCACAACGGAGCAACTCTACGATTGTGACGATCATTTTCGGACCTCGCGATAATGGCTGGAACTAAGTGAGAAGTGCATATCTCGTCGATCATCTTCAGCAAATGCCAGCAAGTGTGAGATTAAAGGCAGAGGAAGAGAGACACTGTCGTCGGAGAAGATCGTCTGAGGTCGTGGCTGGGTGTGCTTCAGTGAACAATGGGCTATAGGTTTGTGTAAGTTTCTTGTTTTTTGTTTCTTGTTTTTAAAAAAAAATCATGTTTGTGGATTTCATAGTTTGTGATTTTCTGGTCTGTTGAGTTTTCTCTAGATTCGCCACTCTCTCGTTTTTCCATTTCGAGTTCGTGATTTTCAGAGTTTGTGGGTTTGTGATTTTGTAATTTTTTGGCAGTAACGTTCCTCCGGTGACCGCCGGTGTGGGACTTGGGTTGTGCTCTCGTGGGTTGTGGTTTGGCATGCCTGAAACGAGGAGTGCTCCGAGAGGCATGTCTGATTATGAGAAAAGCCTCCGAATGAGTCAAAACTAATGGATTTCCCATGCCTTTGAGTTGGAGAAAATTTCTGAGGGATCAGGCTTGGGTTTTGGGCCTTTCAATGGTTGAAATAAAGAATTTCAGGCTTCCAAAGACAAGAGGAAAGTTTTCTTGGGTTGAATCTCCCATCATCCATTCACGCTTAATTTGAGTAATTATGAAAAACCCTCCCAAGCGGATTTCAAATTGGATCAAACGAAGGGTAAATGGGCCTATGTGATCACTCATGCCCCACCAAACCACAACCCACGGGAGTTCATCGAGTGCGGTTTGTGTCCACAAAACGAGCCTAATTACATTGCGGGACGCAAAGGATTGGGCGTGAACCCTTAATGGTAAGGGTGTAAGAAATGAGCCAGAACCCGACGAACCCGCCCGAGCCGACCCTACCCTACCCGAATATAGTGGAAATTTTTTTTTTAATTTTTTCGGATGCATTTACGCCAAACCTGCACAATGCGGGTTGGGTGCCGGGTCGGATTCGATTGAACTCGAGGAAGGCCGACCCGGCTGAATCAATTTCCCTAGTTCATTTTTGCTTTCTCTTCTTCTCTGTCTGCGCCTTAGCATCCCTCGAGTCCTCGGCTCCTCGCCATTGTTGTTTCATTCATAAACACTTACTTCACATGCCAAACTGATCACTCCCCTCTTCTTGATTTTTCAGTTATAGGCACTAATAATGACTTGGAAACTGTTGATGGATCAAAGTTGCTAATTTTTCAAGTGATGAAATCGATGCAGTCATTGAAAGATCTTTAGAGACTTGCCAAGATAGTGGATTATCTAACCGGGTAATTCTTTCTCCCTTCTCCTTAGGCGTGAGGTTTTCTTTTACAAGGAAGACGAAAGGCAATGTCTAAAAACATGTTCAAATTTTCACATCATTGTTTCACTATTTGGTTATTTGCAAGAGATGTCCGCTGATTGATGGTGCATCTGTTTAGTGATTTTTTTTGGGTAGAAAATTAGAACTAGCAGTTGATCATTTGCTAATTGGGTGGTGCTTGTTGAACTGAATTTCTATCAACTTGTGTGATTCTAATTCTTTATGTTTTAAGAATTTTGACCAGGCGAGTGAACCTTGCCAGTTAGTGTTTCATTGCTATAGAACGCATATCTACTTTGGACACATGCCCAATGTTCAGAGCCCAAGCCGAACAACCCGAGTAACTTGAGCTTACCCGAGCTCACCCGACAGGTTATGGGTTTGTGGGCTTAAGAGGGTGTTGCGGTCCAAAATTGTCTCAACTCACACCGTGCGGCTCGGCCTAATTTTTTGGCCCAATCCGAGCCTACCCGACTGAATTACACCCCTACTTAATGGGCATGGTACGAATTTAGGTATTAACACCATAATATATTTACTAGCTATAAATATTATTTACAAGTAATAGATAAATTTAATAATTTGATAAATAAATTATATACAAATAAGTAAGAAAATGGTAAGTGCATGATAGATTTACAACTATTTAACTACTTGCTTAAAATAACTTTTTTATTAATCAAATCTTGTCCAAAATTAAAAAATATTTCAAATCTTTTAACATTTTTTCACTAATATACCTAAGTTAATCCTAAGCCTAATACCCAAAATCAACTTTGGTGATAGATAAGATAGCGCCTCAGAACAAAAGTAGACGCATCATCGTGTCGGTTTTCATTCTCAATAAAACGTGGTATCCCGTGACAATGACTGGTTCATGATTTTATTTTTTTTTTATTTTTTATTTTTAAAACATCTTCCAAGAGAATATTTTGAGAGGGTTCTAATTTAGCTGTAAAAGTACACTCCATAGCGTATTTAGAAGAGTAGAATTTAATTATAAATAATATATTTGAGAATATTTTGAGGAACATAACATAAGAATTGTTATTATAACGTTATTATTTTTTTTGAAGGTGTATTATAATAATGTTAATTTTTGCTATATGTAAAACACTTCAAGTCTTTAACTATGTTTCAACAATACTAATAAGATTTAGGGGGGGGGGGGGGGGGGGAAACCCTCTAGTAAGATAACTTTTGACATTTGTTTATCATTATTTTTTGCCTATAAAGAAAGATTGAAGAGGGTTTTAGGCTGTAGTTCTAGGTTTGTCACATGTTTAGTTTACGAGTTCAAACTCATAGTTACTATTCAGTTACAATACTTTTTTTCATAACAAGTTTAAATAAAAAAAGTTTCTCCCAAGTTCTATCCACCCATTTTTATTATTACTAAATTATACGTTATTAAAATTACTTTTGAGGACAAAAATATTAAAAAAAAGATACTCATTGCACCAGCCACCTTACTTCTTACTCATTGCTTTTACAATTTTTGCGGTCAAATCCCTTCCAATGTTCTGTATTAATCACCAACGTTTTTCAGCATTCCTTATTTCTCTTAATAAAATAAAATAAGCAACTTTCCACTTCATAATAAAATCCTCATATAACATAAATTTCTATATATAAAAAACAAAGCGAATTTTAGAACAAGATATTTCGGTATTGGGCTAAGCAGTGTATGAAAGCAAGTCCAAAATATTTGTAGTAGCCAGTGATATTAGCCAGCTTTCGGATTCCACCAAATAATGCACCCAGAAAATTCTTAGGAAATAGTAGGAAATATGCCAATATGAAAAGCTTAAGAAAATATATAGACCAACTTTTAATTATAGAAATTAATAGGTCATACTTGTCAAGTTATAGTTTATAACCAGATAAATTATGGACAAACTTATTAAGTTATGGTTCATAATATAGACCAACTTTTAATTATAGAAATTAATAGGTCATACTTGTCAAGTTATAGTTTATAACCAGATAAATTATGGACAAACTTATTAAGTTATGGTTCATAACCAGACAAGTTATGGATAAAAACCGAGAATAACTTGTCAAGTTATGGTTCATAACCAGATAAGTTATGAACAAAAATAGTAATTTGACCTATTTATTAACTTATGTAAACTATTGACCTATTAATTTTAATTCATCTCAAATCTGTCTTGACCTATTTCCCTCTTTCTCCCAAAATTCTTTTGCTTTTGTTTGCTTATCTATTTTATTCTCTTGCAAAACAACATAGTTTCTATCGACAGACGTTATTGCAAAAATAAATAAATAAATAAATAAATAAATAAATAAATAAATAAATAAATAAATAAATAAATAAACTTCTCAGCTTCCATCGGAAAATAGAGTCCTGTGGTGAGTAATAAGGAGCGAGCTAGTGTTCTGTATTTTGCATCATATGGAGGAAGTATACGCTGTTGGCGTGTCATCTACGTGATTGAGAGTGATTAATTATAGGGATTTTTTTTGAAATTTTAAAAGGGTATAACAAGTAGAAAGAGGGATAGTTTAATAGTGCTCTTTTCAAAAATAAATACACGAAATTAGCTTTAATATTTGGCTACTAACATTACCATACATGCTATACTAAAAGTTTCTAGACATGGTTTACAAAGAGAGATTTTACTCCCCGGTTTTGAATCTACCTAGAAACATAGTTAATAAGATGACAGAAGATCTCCTATATATATATATATATATGTAACTATTATATATATATATATTAGAAACTTAGCCAAAAAAATGAAAAAAAGAAAAGAAAAAAAGAGCATCAATTAAGCAGAAGAACTAGGATTGACCCCACATAGAAACAAGTCCATGCTCTTGACCCTTTCCCACCAACCCTTCTTTCCAACAATATTGCTACCACTTTGACTTTGATTTCTTTTTAATATCAGACTGATCTGGTTAAGCTTCTTCATCTGAAGGCAACCATAAAAAAAAACCTCATTATTCTTCTTCTTCTTCTTCACACATTCCTGATTATCTCCTGATGATGAACTAGTACTACTTGTCAAAAAAACAGGCTGACCATAGTAGTAGTCTCTGTTCCTCTTCTCCAACCCATGAATCTGTCCCTGCTGAGCATGCAAACCCTCTGGTCCTCCCTCATCTTCAGCACACACCTCGCAAGCTCCCCGGCTCTCCTCCGCATGAACATCGACTCCGACGCCAACCCTTTGTTCTCCTCCGCCAGCGCCGCTGCCTTGTACTCGAGCCTCGCGTTCTCGTTCAGCAACACCAGCCTCTCCGACTCCAGCACCTCCAGCAGGCTCCTTTGCAGCTCTATCTTCCTGGACGACTCACTGCACCTCCTCTCCGACCGTCCCAGCTCCTCCATCACCACCTCTAGCTCCACATTCTTCATGACAAGCTCCGCGATGACGTCATCACTAGGGTTTTGATCATAACTAATAACTCCCATCATCGGTTGTTGGTATGAGAGAGAGCTCTCTAAATCGGATTCGATGTCGGTGACGGTGGTGTCGTAGTAGTAGTCGGAGACTTGGGAGGAATGCCTACGATGATGGCCGGATTTGTTATTAGGGTTTGAAGATTGAGAGTATAACTTATCGGATAAAGTGAGATAGGCGTTGTAGAGGTCTTGGAGTAAGGCTAAGAGTTGAGGACGCTTTCTGTAGTAAGATTCTGCACGCTCTGCGAATGTGTCACCTTCGTCTTCTTCGTTTTGGTGGTTAATTGCTAAAATCTTCATCCTCTCCTCTACATCTGTTTGCATGTGTAACAAATAATAATATGTGTCGCATATGATGAAATAAAAATTCACTAAGACAGACCCGATATTAAAAATTTTATTATACTTTTTCTCTCTAGACTAGATGGACAATCCGCACTTGTGTGTGTTCTTTTGGACAGAAGAGGTGAGAAGAAGTACAAAATAATAATGACACGCTTCATAGATTCAGAATCATGAATTTAATTTTTAAAATTTAAATTTAAAAAAAACACTGTAAAGAATCAAAAATCATAATTTAGAAGCATAGATAAAATTTAAATTTAAAAAAAACACTGTAAAGAATCAAAAATCATAATTTAAAAACATAGACGAATTCTTAAAACAAACATGACTATAGATATGTGGTTAAAGTCTCTCTGATCATCTACTTCAAAAAAATAAAAAAATAAAAAAAAAATCTCCCTCTTCATGAATTTTAAATAAAGATACAAACAAAAGAGATGACATCATTTTCCTTTTCGCTTGATGAAGCTGTTATGTTGGTATCTCAATTTATTTTCAGTTTTGGTTTCCAACTAATGATCTGGGCCAAGAAAAAACAATTTAATTATCGTAATAAGCTAATGAGAAAAAACAGTTCAATTACACATAACAGATATAGCTATTTCTTGGACTAATTCAGGTCTAGAGAAACTTTGCTAAGAAAATTAAAACAGTTCAATAATTACGAAAAAGAAGAAATGCTCAGTATCACGGATGACAATCAGAGGACTATAAAAAGAAAACAAATAAAGACAAGTATTTTGTAAACATAACAAAATCAACGAAAAGAACGAGAACGTGGTCCCCAAATTTAGCCAAACAGAAGAAATTTGGCTTCTTCTCTTGTTGAAGCTCCTTTCATTCATTTATGAGTTATATATTTTTATTTATGTAGGAGGGAAAACGACGAGAGAACTGGCTAACTTATCAAAGAAAGAAACAAATTGGCAGAAATAGAATAGGGTTGTGGATTCACGAGGGAGAAGATTATTATCAATTATCATCATCACGAAGCGTTGTCGGTTTTGCACCAAATTTGAAATGTTGAATTTTGAAAAAGTAAAGTTAAGAATATGTTAGTGAATATGGGTGGCTAATAATAAAAAAATATGAGCTGTTGAAAGTTAAAAAGAGAGTCGAGAGAAGAAAAAGAGAGAGCACTAAAAATAGTATTACTTTTAGAAAATGATTACGTGTAGAAAAGAGAGAGTCAGAAGCTATAAATACTTATTTTCTTTAATAAATAGGATAGTTTTACAGTATCTGAAAACGTAAAAATATTTAACTAAAGTTCTGTTGATAAATTCGTATTATAATTTGAATTAGAGTACTTTGGTTCATCAATTCAAAATTATAATTCAAAATTATTTTTAATATACATGTGTTTTTTAAAAAAAATACTGTAACAAATTATGATTCAAATCAAAGTATAAATCCCTTAACCAAACAACCTGTTATTTATTAAAAATAATTTTAAATTATAATTCTAAATCTATTAAATAAACATCAATTCAAGTATTTTTTTTATTTATTTTTAATATTTTATAGTTATTTTGTCAAATTTATCCGTTAAAACTTAAATATAATACTATTTATTTATAAGGTACTATTTACATATAGTATACTATTGGCGTGTACGGTTAATTTTTAGCGGAAAATACTCGATTTCCCCGACATTTGGATATGGTTTTGAGACAAAAGATTTGCTTCGCTCAGATGTGGAGAGAGCGACCAAAGAAAACAGAAAGGACGAGTAAGGGCCCTGCTCAGATGAAATGTCGCTGTCGAAACAAGATTCTTCTTCATTACCAAAAATCTTGAATAACACAGTTTTCCATGAATATGGAGTTAACCATATTATTATTATTATTAATAACGTAAGCCAAAAACATAGAAAAAACCCCAAAAAACTAGTTCCTGAATTTTTCATCTGCTTTATTTGTCCTCTTTAATTAATTACCAAAAATGGCTTCCAATTCTGTCTTGAAGAGGTCAGATACCAGTCAACAATTTCACATGAGCCATTAACTGTGGGTAAATAGTAAACTGTTATATATTATCCCTTCTTCGAGATGGTTAAAAGATTCGCAAATTTTTTTTTTTTTTTTTAAAAGCATTTCCATTTCATTTCTTTGGGTTTCATTTATTTATTTATTTTTATTTTTTTGGCTGAAGGAAAAAAGAAGCCAATTATGAGTTCAAATTTTGAAATGCCAAAGAACAAAAAAAGGAAAGTGATGGGCAACTTTTTTTTTTTTTTGAAATATGTAGAGATAAATTTTTAAAAAAAAATGAGGGTCTCGAGGAAAAAGTATATGTATAAAGGAGCTAAGACAGAAAGGTCATTGTCACGTATACCAACAAAATCTATTCTATTCTCTCCTAAAAGACATTGCGTTATGTTCATACTTGTTCAGCCATTCTCGAATTCAAATTCTTAAAACTTTGAAAATGAAATCATATAATAATAAATTTCAAATTTCAAACACTCGCTGTGCCAGTATCTCAGCAGAAAGCCCAAAAAGAAAAAAAAAGTACAGAAAAAATATGTATGAAAAATATAATAAAATCCCACTCGGTCATTTTCGTTAAAAAAAACCCAAGTCCAACCATGGTTGATAAATAAAATGTACCCCTTTTGAATTTTTAAATTACTAAAATAAACAAAATATTGCAGTAAAGTCTATTAAGTTACGTTATTCTACCAATATATATATATATATATATGTATATTATAGTCCACAACACACTATGGAATGTTGTTGTATCATCAAATGAAAAGAATGAAAGTTATAAGAAGACTAGCGTACCAGCAAGAGTAGAAAGAAGCCAGGTTGGTTTGGTATTGAAGTTGATTTTTCTTGATGAAGAAGACCAAGGACGTGGAGGTGACTGATAATTCCATCCCAATGTTGCTGCTGCTGCTTTCTCCATCATTTTCCTGCTATCCAAACACTTTTCAACCAAACGTCTTACTCAACAGAAAAAAAAAAAAAAATTAAGAAAAGAGAAAAGCCCCTCTCTAGTTATAGACTACTAATGAGGTAAGTAATGGGTTTTCAGTTATGGGACACGTAAACATAATGGGCTACTGAACAATCACAGATACATATATATATATATATATATATATATTGCATTTAAAACGAAGCCGTACAATTTCCATCCAATTCTTCCATCATTTACATTTTTTTTTTTTGTACAAGGGACGATATTGGAAGAGGAGAAAAGTAAAAACAAATAAGTAATAATCGCAGATCTCGAGGTAATATATTAAATGCTCAATAGTTTTTGAGCATTTAAAAACATGTCAAAAAAGAAACATGTACGAATGCGATCGATCTCAACTCTGAACATTCAATGCGTTTCAACCAACAGTTTTTGACCCCAATCCCCATGCACATATATTATTTGCTCCCAATGTTTTCTCCCTTCTTAAAAAAAAATAATTAAAATTAAGAAAAAAAGATTTTAAAAGAGAGAAGAAAAATATGTTTCAGTTAGAATCTGTTCATTTCGCTGATTTGAGTTTATAATTTGAGTTGAGATGTAATTTTATGTGAGAGTTTTTTACTGTAATAAAAAAGTTAAATATGATTATTTATAAGAGTTTTTTACTGTAACAAAACTCAAATTTTAAACTCAAATTGGTAAAGTGAACGAGACCTAAATGAACATTTATAATATGTATATGTATGTATATATATATGCGCATTTCACTTGTATTTATAAGATCAGAAACCTTTTACAAACGGAAGGAAATGAATTTCAATTGCTGAAGCAAAACAAGATGATATTGATGATGGAGCTTGAAATTAAAATTTTTCTGTTGAAATTTGAAGCCCAAAAAGAGCAAAAGTTTTCGGAAAAGAGATGCCAAGAAAAGAGGAAAAAGCCAAAACAGAGAGAGAAGAAACAACTTACCAATGAGATTACGTGAAGTAAGTGTTGAAGAGAGAGAGGCGGGGAGTACTGGAGAGAGAGCAAAACAGCACTAAAAAATTAATTCACTCACCTTCCGCTAACAACACTATTTATACGGAGATATTTTAGATATATAAATATATAAAATAAAATATTGTAAAAGAACAAAAATAAATAATAAAAAATAAATAAATCGGTACTTGGAAGGAGTAAATGCGGAAGAGAGTAGCGTGTTCCAGCAGAGATAGAGTATGAAATCTCGCTCAAAATCCGGTGGGACCCTTTCTCAACTTAATAATTTAAATTTTATTCATTTCATCAATTTAAATTTAAAATTTAAATATTTTCTTTAAGTGTTTTCTCATAGGATGCCGAAACTTTAACTATTCTACTCATTTTCTCTCTCTCTCTCTTTGAGTGTTTTCTTTAAGTCTTTTGCTATAAAGACTTGAAGTATTCTTCAAAATTCTTAAGGTTTTAAGTGTTGATAGCCTTAGAAACTTCTTAGAAATTCTCTTTGATTTCCTTTCATAACGACTCAGCAGTGTTTCAAGAGTTTTCTTCACACTTTTTCGAAAGCATTCAAGCCTGCAACCTTGGAGTCATCCTCATCCATTGTCCGGGTGAGTGCTCCAAATGGTCCTTTCGCTCCCAGAGCAACCCGCATTTCCTCCCTAAGTCTTTTACTAGATTTCTCCATATTATGTCTCTCCATCAGCACCTTATCCACCAGTGAAGCCTCATATTTAGAGCTTCCAAAGCAGCCCGAAAAAGTAAACTTTTATTTTAAAAAATAATTAGAAAATATAAAAGTTGTAATGATTACATGAAAAAAGTAAACATTTCAACTAATAGTAATTAAATGTCAAATTTTTTATATGCTATACTTGGTGAAAAATTTACCATAAAATATAACATATGAGAAATTTAGCACAATAAATAATATTGCATTAAAGAGTGTTTTTTTTTCCACTCAAATGTTAAATTTGTAATTGGCATATCAATTACAGCATTGCATTAAAGATGTTCTTAAGTTACCGTTTTAGGGTTTTGTTTGTTATTTTGTGTAGACTTATTTGGTTTTTATTTTTTAAAAATTGGGTAGCTGCTTTTTTTATTTGTTTAAAGAAAGTTTACTTTTTTTGAAATAATTAGGTTTTATTAAATTTTTGTTTGACTTTCGTATTTAAATATGAATATTTATTATGTTATCTTTCCTATTTTGTTGATCCATTAATTTTTCCTTTTTTTATTATGTAAGGATATAAACGTTTTTGTATGTATGACAATAGGTATTTTTGTAAAAAAAAAATAATAAGTAGGCATTTTTAGAATTTTTTTTCCGAAAAGGGTATTTTTAGATTCAAGATGTTATAAATAGGCATTTTTATAAATAGCCCCTAGAAAAATGCCATATCCAAATTATGAATTAAATTGACTGTTCAACTAGTTAATTTAATTTGTACAAGTTTGTTTATATAAAAATTAATATTTCATGTTGTGACGACCCTCCTATGAGGCCGCCACAGTAACTTAAACTTTCACTTGTACTTACTGGGGTTTCTTAAAATATGCGGAACATTTTTTTTTTTTTTTTATATAAGAAGGAATACTTTCATACTTTGTAACAATAATTTCAAATAAGTGAATCACTAAATTTCTTAAAACTTTTCTTAATTTTAGTTAACATAAAACCTTTTAGGAATATCCTTCAAATAGAATAGCATTTGAACTCTTGTTTCAAATACTCTTTAAAAGCTTTTCTAAAACTAGTCATTTCAATCGGCCATCTCATTTGATTTTAAAACGGATTTCGTGAGAAATCTTAAATTCAAGTATATCTTAAAGTCCTTCTAAAATTACTCATTTAAATCGTTATGTTTAAAATTCATTTATTTGTTGCATGTACTGTTGCAACGTTCTAAAACTTAAATACTCAAAACTAGGGTTGTTAGCTACAACCTTGGTTTTCTTAACATACATATGTACGTATACTTTTTAAACATACATACTTGAAACTTTTGAATCATATAGACATATACATGATTTTTCTTAAACTTACTGCGGAAAATA